TCTCTAAATTTATAGGGATTACTGATCAATACGTGCCTCAATAATGAACTTAATAAGGATATCAGAATTTAGTTGTTTACCCTAGTATGATTTCAAGTAGCTTCAGACTTCCTTACTAAAGTTCTTAATTTAGCCTGGTAACTGACAGTTTACATTTCAAGGAAATTCTGTAGGATATAATATGCACGTACATTGGGAGATATTTCAAAGCGAACATAAAGTATTCAAGCAGAGTAACTATCCGGGCCGAGTATGGCGAAGCTTCTTATGCTCGCTGCTTTTTTATTTTTCTTATCCAAACCAGGAGTAAGTTCAATGGGAACAACTACCAGTCCTCAACAACTGAATCCTCAGGTTGGCGCCGACAAAGATTGAAAAGATGACAAAGATCCGTGTGAGGTACACTTTGCGCTTATTCTAGGAGCTCTCAAGTCGCACGCATTGAGCGTGAGAATAACGCAGACTAATTCAATCTTATACTCTTACGCGCATTTGAGTAAAACTGTTCATTTGAGTTAGCAAACTGCTGCTTAATTAATAACCCAGAAAATTATTTCCTTCTACATATAATGAACTCCTTGTTCCCTTTGTACTTGCTTCGAACACTTTCAAACAGTGGAAAGTCTCGCTCGGAATAATGATTTGAAATCAAATAACATTGTTCTTGACCACAGAAATGGTTCTTATAACCCAGTAGTCATAGACCTTGTGAAAAGTGTGCCATCAAATGGAGCAGGAGGGCCAAAACTTCGTTCACAGGATAAACGAAGAACATATACTAGAGAATTTCCCCTGTTGCCAGCGATATTCTTAGCCTCGCAAAAATTGCGGAGGCAACTTTTAAAAAAGCGGACCTGGGACACTATCCTGTCTTGCTTATTTAAGCCTTGAACGCAGACCCAACAAAAAGGCCAAGTTTGGACAAAATTTTAGGTATCATGTAAAAACCCAGAATTAATATTTTCGGAACCTTAACTTCCTAGGCATTTTCCCAGGATTTAAAGTCATTTTTAAAAGTTATCACAGTAAGTAATGAGTTAACATAACATTATGGAGATTATGTTAAAGAATTTTTAGAAGCGAAAGATTGAACATGAAACATACAGTCACTGTCAAATGTAATCAGTAGAATCAACCTATATGGAACGTATTCCGTGGTGAGGGCGCGAAAATATTTTTGTTAGATGTTAATGTTAGATGTTAATGTTAATATTAATGTTAGAAAACCAGAAAAAAACAGAAAGGGTTATAAACAAACTGCCGTTTCGCACGTATGGAAGTCCGCCTGAGCTCAAAGTGTCAGACTTAACTTTCGAAAATTTAGCTCTTATGATTTCCTCGGGTAACGATATTCAAAGTCCTGAAGGATTATTCTCTATGTAAATGATGGTCAGAACATCCTGTTTTATCGTTTTTTCTATTTAAGATTGTGTAAAACTTGTTATTTTCCCTAACATTAATTTCCTCAATGGGTTCGCTAAAAATCTCTTTGTTTATATTTAGGTTTACTTTTGTTGTTAATCATGATCATCTAGATCATGTCTTCTAGATATACTGAGCTGATGCTTTTGAAATGAGATGGTTTTTATAGTTATCGCGGCCGTAATGAAGTTCGAAGTAATGTTTTCGGTTGGTGATACCTAGATGGCGAAGAGTAATTGACTGTGGTCAAAGATATTGTATTCACAATGTCTTTCCGATAGAAAAGAGTGTAACCTTTTGGTAAATAAAACGCTGCTTTACATTTGAATTCGCTTAGCTTCTTTACTGCTAGTTGTCGTCCATATTGTCGGCAAGGGCAGAGCTTTTCAAACGCACTTGAGAAAACAGAGTCCACTGAAGTTGCATTGGAGCTCAGTGAGAGAAGCAAACAAAAAAAGATAACTTCGAGTTAACAAAAAAGTACAATTGAGATTTTTCTAGCACGGGTTGCGTAAATGAAGCGGGGGCGCCAAAACAAATTTATTCCTGTTTGACAACAAAGGACTGTTTACGATGTGGTTAAATTGTAACTGACAAATTAAATGATTACTTCTTTGTTGCACGAAAACTTGTTGACGTACAGGAATTCATTTCATATGAGAATTTGTCGCCTTCGAGTAAATGAGCCATAGACGGTTCATTACTTTTACAGAGCACCCCTGTCGATGTTCACCGATTGAATAGGCGAACATCAGCAGGGGTCTGCGATTTCAGATCTCTAGGAATCTCGTCAGGGTTTTCTGATTGGTTCACTCAACTCCACTTATCAGCTCACATACCGTAGCAGGCATACTGAGTCACCTTGGTTTATATGGAAATTTATTCATACCAGTATTGCTAAGCTGAATTTACCTTAGGCTAAAAGCAAACATTTCTCCTGTGTACGGGTGATAAATTATAAAATATCGCCAATTGACGTCATCCCGGTAGCAAAAGTAAAAGCCTCAAAGTATGTTATAACATTGTAGCATGGTATGTATCTTTTAAGTTTCATTTAAAAATGTTTGACAATGACATTTTATGGTCTGAAACTAGTAGTTTCAATGTGAAAGTGGGTGCTGGCGTCAGAGAGATAATTTCGAAACACTCACATGTCAGTTCATTTGCTAAAGAACAAAAGAATGTTCTAAATTCACCTAAATCTCAAAATTTTGATAAAGTTGCTGTGAATTTGGCATACCATCACTTTTTCTAGCATGAGGGTCAAAGGTATAAAATGAACCATTTGATTCACTTAAAATAATCAAAGTGACATTTTTAAGAATAATAATTGCCTGCTTGTAAATTGTGAAAGTATTCATCAATGCTGAACCAGGGCCGTAGCTACCATGAGGCAAGACGAGGCAATTGCCTCGTCTTGATTTTGGCCTTTTTTAAAATTATTTTTCTTGAAGATTGACTTTTCTGAAGAAAAATGTCACGAAAAATCCTTAAAAGAGCATTTCTGAACTTTTCTGAGGGACATGCCCCCAGACCCCCCTAGCGGCTCGCGCCCTCGGCGCTCGAAAATTGCCTCGTCTTGTCCTGAAGACTGGCTACAGCCTTGGCTGAACAGAAGAAAAGGCAAGGATAAAGGGTGTCATTCACATTCATCAACCCTTGTCGGCGCTCTCCATATTTTATGCTGTATATATCACAATCAAGCATTTTTCCTTCAAAACTCGCGAACTGCCTTTCGGCAAGACCCGCCCATTTTGAGGAATGTTGAACGTCATTGAGCAAACGACAACTTGGTGTTGTGCTCGAGAAGTGTTATTTTGACTCAAAGGTTGGAAAACAATTGGACTCGACGGCCGAATGGATGCTCTCCATGGATGAAATCAACTCAGAATTTGTCTCAAAGCCTAAACAGTCATTTGAGTTTGCAGTTAATAATGAAGTATTTATATAGCGCTAGTTTCCTCAAAGTTCAAAAGCGCTTAACAAGAGTGACACAATTGTAAAATTAGAAAAACGCTTTTTAAAGAGAAAAGTTTTAAGTTTGTTTTTAAAAACGGACCCTGAGGAGCTGTTCATCATATCGGACGGCAAAGTGTTCCAGAGTGTGGGGGCAGCGACAGAAAAAGATCTTGCACCGTATATCTTCAAATTAAAATGAGGAATAACGAGGAGATTCTTAGATGATGAACGCATTTGACGAGCTGGAACGTAAGGTGGGAGTAGATCACGAATGTACGATGGTGCAAGATTGTTAAGAGCTTTGTACGTGATGAGTAAACACAATGCGATAATGTATCGGAAGCCAGTGAAGATTTATTAGAATAGGCGTAATGTGTTCATGTTTTCTTGAAAGAGAGATGAGACGAGCAGCGGCGTTCTGGACGTGCTGTAACTGTTTTACTTGGTAGTTCGGTAGTCCATAGAGTAATGAATTACAATGATCCAATTTTGAAGATACAAATGCATGAACAAGTATTTCAGTGTGGTTGATGACAAGTACTTTCTTACATAGCTGATATTTCGGAGATGGTATAAAGATGATTTGCAGATACTTGCAACATGATCGTTGAAAAGAAAATGATTGTCAAAGGTAACACCAATATTTCTAGCTTTCTGTGAGGGGTGGATGGTCTCAATGACGACAGAGATTTCCTGAACAGTTGGCATAAGTAGATGTTTAGCAGAGATCACTAGTAATTCAGTCTTATCCTTCTTTAGTTTTAGACGGTTAGCCAACATCCAGTGATCAATCTCATGTACACAACGCTCAATGTTAGACACAGCTAAGTCCTTGTCACCAGGTATAGTTGGCTGAAAGGATAAATAAAGTTGCGAATCATCAGCATAAAAAAGGATAACCCAAGTTAAATCTCTTAACAATGTCAGAGAGCGGTGAAGTGTAAAGAAGGTACAAAATGGGTCCCAAAACAGAACCCTGTGGAACACCCCATTGAAGAGCACGTTTCACGCAAGTTCTGCCATCTACAGACACATACTGCATGCGATCGGACAAATAAGATTGGAACCATAAAAATGGCTTGCCAGTAACTCCAAAGTGTTCATGTAAACGAGAAAGAAGAATATCGTGATCAACCTTATCAAAGGCAGCAGAGAGATCTAAAAGTTATAGAATTACTGTTCTATGGTTATCAATGGCTGTGAGGATGTCATTATGCACACGAATGAGAGCCATTTCTGTGCTATGATACTGCTTATAGCTGACTGAAATATCTCGTTCAACTTGTTTTTGTTAATATAGGTAATCAGTTGGTTAGCAACAGACTTTTCAATTGCTTTGCTGATAACGGATCCAAAGTAGAGTGCCAGGCTTCAAGGAAAAGTCTCTCGTGATAATTGGTTTCGAAACCAACGACCCTGACGTTTGTAAAATCCACGTTATGGTCGAAAAGGTGGACATGGCTTGCGACTTTGGAGTTTAAGTCAAAACTGCTAGATTCTGGTCTCGTTAACGTACCGATCTTTCTGTTGACAACATTTTGAGACTTTCAGAATTTGTCCTCAACCACAATTATTTTAAATATGATGGCGGGCACTACAAACAGATTTTTGGTTGTGCCATGGGTTCTCCCATTAGTCCTGTTTTAGCCGACCTGGTTATGGAAGAAATTGAGGAAACGGCGATCTCCACGTTCCCGTACCCTCCCAAATGGTGGTTTAGGTATGTTGACGATAGTCATTCTTATATCAAAAAGGATCAAGTTGACAATTTCCACAAACATTTGAACTCAATTAACCCGAACATGCAGTTTACTTTAGAATTAGAAAACACCAACGGACAAGGCTTGCCTTTTATAGACACCATACCAATTAGACGCGACACAAAAATTCAGGTGGATGTTTACAGAAAACCGACACATACCGACCGTTATCTCGATTTCTTTTCCTGTCATCCTATGTGCCATAAAAGATCCGTTGTCAACACCTTACTGAAAAGAGCAAACAACATTCCATCTACCAATAAAGGCAGACGTCGGGAAGAAATACAACGAGTTAAGACCGTTCTGCGAGATAACAATTATCCAATGACTTTTATACGGAACTGTGAGAGAGAGTTATTTAAACAACCCGCCCAGACCAATTTCAATGGCTTTGTAGTGCTGCCGTATGTACAGGGTGTTTCCGAGAAAATAAGTCGCATATTGAAACAACAAAAGGTCAAAGTAGCCTACAAACCGCAACAAACAAACAACAGCCTTTTTCCACGCCCCAAGGAGCTAGACGAACCTGACCGCCAGAAGTCAGGCATGGTGTACAAAATCAATTGCACACAGTGTAATTTTAAGTTCTATAGCCAAACAGAAAGATCATTAAAGACCAGAATTTCGGAGCACAAAAAGGCAGTTGCAGGTTTTGACTTAAACTCCAAAGTAGCAAGCCATCTCCACCTTTTCGACCATAACATGGATTTTACAAACGTCAGGGTCGTTGGTTTCGAAACTAATTACCACGAGAGACGTTTCCTTGAAGCCTTGCACTCTACTTTGGATCCGAATGCTGGGAACGATCACATCGTACTTCCAGAAGCCTATAAAGACCTCGCGCGAGCATCAAATACATAGTGACGCGCGTAAGCTTGCGTCACGTTTTTAACTTTAAATAGCGTATGATAACGATCTTCGTTTTTCATATCACTGATGAAGGCTTAAGCATTAGCCGAAACGTCTGTTTCAGAAATAACAACAGTCAGAGGCAACCAATTTCCATAAAACTCATGACATCTCCTGACTACACTTTTTCCTATTTAAAGAGAATGATGTACTCGTGGGTTCGCTGCAGGTGTGTATGTAGTTCACGACTAAAACTCAGCGCGATAACAGATTACAGAAGGCAGAATCAACAGGAATCCCTTTGTTACAGCCCGTACTTGTTGTCATATTTCTACCTTAACCAAACTAGATCACTTTTGTGTTACTCTGCTCGTATAGAAACTTTCAGAAAAACATGTTAGCTGTTGACGTACACTTTGATGGATAAGGCATTTTAACAAATCGATTTTCTGATTTCACAGTAGAAAAAAATCAGGCGTTTGTGATAAAGCTAAAGGAACAAACACGTCGAAAGAAGAAAGCAAAAATACAGGGAAAAGTCCTAAAAAGCCGAGGCGTCTAGTAAAGAGATTCGGAGAAATGTCTGAAGAAGATGTGTTGAAACTAAAGCATCCAGAGCATCTAGACTACAATCTGGATATTCTTTTTGTAAGCATATTGATGTACTTTATAAGACATTCTGGAAGTGAAAAAACAAAGAGAGGATTAGAAATATTTTCATTTCACAACGAGAGTCTGTGATTTTAATTGTCCAAGTACCGTAGCGTTACTTCAGGTGTTATTTCAAATATTGGCTGCTAGATTGATGAAAACTCGATAAGTAATAAGTGTATTGGTATTTTCTTTACAGGTTGGAATTAATCCCGGCTTGATGCCGGCCTACAAAGGACACCCCTATGCAGGGGCAAATAATCACTTCTGTAGGTAAATAATTTACTTGCCCATGAAGATTATTCACCACTACCCCATGTAAACTAATATCAAAGGCATTGCAGTCTTTTCTTAGATTGGATATACTTGAAAATGAAAGAAAGGGAGGTTCATTTCTAAGATTTCCATTAATTTTCATTTCAAACTAAAACTTAAGCTTTACAAACGGAGATCCAAGTTACCAACAGTTTTCTGCCCTCAAAAAGAACTGATATATACAAATGTGTGCCGAAAACATTGATTTTAATCTCGCTCCAATAAAAAACCATTGATCTGCAATAAACTCTCTTTATTATCAGGGTACATGTACATGTATTCATTTGATACAAAGCACATGACTGAAATAAAAAAAGGAAACTCCAGATGTATTTTAAGAAAATGAAGAGCAAAACTAGTAAATTCCAATGTTCCTGTTGCAGGGCCTTGTTTGTATGAATCAGGGCTGGTTCCTGAGAGGCTTACATACCTGGATGATGTAAGATGTCCATCATATGGAATAGGATTAACAAATATGGTGGAGCGGACAAGGGGAAGTGCAGACCTCTCCAGGTTAACAAAACTTTATCATTATGTGAATGGTTAGGTCTTGTTTAAAATACATTGGCAGGAACTACTGATTTATTTAGGTATGCACCAATTGTTTAAGCCTTTACACCCCAGTAGTCATATTCTCTATACTATTCTCTATATATTCTTAAGGTGCTGATAAGAAGAATTTGTTTAACAATCACTTTCTTTATTCTTGTGCCTTAATGCATGATTCAGGGGTGACATTTTAGGGAGAAATTACATAGCAGTCACTTTAAGGGATCAAAGATTTACAAAATATTTCTGGCAAAGTTGAGTTATGAGACTTTCCTTCATATTGGTAAAATGTTAGAATTGCACTGAGGATCAAGACAAATTATTGCTATATGTAGAAGGGAGTTTGCTTCAGACTCTGCATTAAAATAGAAAAAATATCTTTTTTAAGCACTGGGAAATCATTTAGTTTATTTCTTCATGTTGAGTTCTACATAAATGAATTTTATGGTTGCATAAGATCATCCACAGAAATGTTTATCTGAAAATTACTCAATGCATCTTGGTATTTTATAGACAGGAAATGAGAGATGGAAAAGGTGAGCTCATACGGAAAGTGGAGCTGTACAAGCCATTAATAGTCTGTTTTAATGGAAAAGGTTGGTACATAAATGGAATTAATATCTAAATGAAATCTCTACATTGAACTCCAAAGTCTGTCTAGGAGTTCTTAATATGCAAACTGTCAGTATCGATGTTAAAAAGTTAGATTTGTATAATAGGGACTTGCAGCATTTCAAAACTAAGGAAAAATTAGCGTGTCTTTAGGGGATCTGCATGCATTTCCAAGAACTTTACTAAAATGGAATTAATTCTCTACACCCCTTCAGTTATATACGAGTTATTTTCTGGATCCAAGTGCACAGTTGGCCGACAGAAAGATCCTATACCAGGAACTAATACGGTAAGTTTCTTCTGATTTGGCTTCTTCTTCATTTTAACCTCTGTCAGAAGCCTTCATTTGTACTGTTTTGAATGGATTGGTGGCAATTAACAGTGACCTGTTACTTATATTGAATAGATGTCTTCTGCACATACCCCTAGGAGTACTCCAAACTGTCCCAGGTGGAAATCTTATTAAGATCTTCGTAAGATTCTTAATAAGATTCTTACTAAGATTTTATCTTACTTCTTAATTAAGATTCTTACAAGATCTTACACGATTCTTACAAGATTCTTACAAGATTCTTACAAGATTCTTACAAGATTCTTACAAGATCTTAGGAAAATGCTCCAAGATCTTAACAGATCTTACCAAGATCTTACCAAGATCTTACAAGATCTTACAAGATCTTACCAAGATCTTACCAAGATCTTACTAAGATCTTACCAAGATCTTACCAAGATCTTACCAAGATCTTACAATCTCAGTGCGAACTCAGCTTAATTACTTAAAACCACTGATCGCAGTTGCATTTTTCTCATTACAATAGAAGGGAAAAGTATTTTAAAATCAATACGCCTATCATAATTTCTATTTTATAAACAAATTAATGTAAAATTCATTTTACAAGTGTCAGTTTATTTGTGTATAATTTTCCGATTTGTCTTCTTTACCGTGGTTTCCTTACATTTTCAAAAAAAAAAAAGCGATGTCAGCACGGAATTCTTTTTACAGTGAAAACTATTTATTGTAAATTGTATTATTTAAAATTTATGATATACATGTTCGGTCTGATGAACACCAATAACTAACAAAAATTGCACTGTACAACATTAGGAGTTTCAATAAAAGCCAGTTCCCAGCGGTTTACCGCTGCCTGTTAGACTTCGTACATCGTCTGTTGAGCCTGCACGCGGGCTCTCTTATTTGGATTTCGCCTGACGGCACTTTTTTGGCACATCTACCCATTAGTTACACCATTGGCCTCCGCTTATGGCAAAAAGTTATTGAAAGCCCTGTATAATATACTGGACTCGCTCGGACGAAGGGCTAGTGCAAGAAATGTCAGCTTTGGAAACTCTTTACGCGGGAAGCCAATTACATTCACCATTGATAAAACCAAATCATCTTGAATTGTAATCCCTCCCTCCCCACCCCACCCCTCCCCTTCACCGGCGCAGCACCACGGTGTTTCAGAAACTCACCCCCTTTACACGGAATTTGTATCGACCAGTCATTTTTTAGACTGCTAAAGAAGTGGGATGGGGGCTTAATTCTTCCATTTGTTAAGCCACTAAGTCAAAATTTTTCAATCTGAACTTTTTAACACAGCTTATGACAATTAAAGATATTGAAACATTTTCACATACGAGCAAGCACTATATTACGCGACCAATTGTGCGAAATACTCAAAATACAGGTGTATTGTGTAGTTTATGTATCAACACACAAAAAAAGCGGAAAAACATAAGTACATAACTAGTGACACTGTTTTCCTGAGCTTCTAACTTGTTCGCGATGCACTCCATGCGCGTGCAGTATTGTCAGGCAAATCCTCGGTGACATGGTCAGTCTAACTCTCATTCTGAACCAGATTATATTGTTTGAGCCAGCTAACCACAGCACTGTAATATCTATTTTCATACGACACGTTTTTGTGGTTGACCATCAGAACAAACACTACTTCTGTTTGCTGCGTTCACGACGTCGTCGAACAGTTATCATTATTATTGTCCACCTTTATTACTTTTTTCATCGCTTAGGAAGAAGCAGCTTGTTCTCTTGTCGCTTCTTTTCCAATTCGCCGTTAGTTAAATACCTCGGGATTTTTTTACTTCTGAAATTGCAGCGGTGAAAGTGGAGTTGGTAAGACTACATCTGCACGGCACGTGATCCTGATTGTATCATGATGAAGTTTCTGGCCGAGGATCCGAAAGAATACAGGCAAATATGCCTTTAGCTCTGTGACTGCTGATTATTTTTTCTCTTAAGTAACCACGGATACTAAAGAACCTCTTTTATTTGTTTTCTGTTT